GGAGAGAGGAGCCTTGGGGAACGCAGCAGCTTCCCCTCACGCGACCGGAGCGACGCGGGCAAAGGCAACAGGCCCCTGTGTTTGCTCCGTTCCACGTCACGCGCTGTAAGAAAGAAGAAAAACCAACTCCCAATGAAAGCTCCTTTTCCAAAAGATTGTGCAGGAGCAATAGGAGGAAGCAGCTTTTGAGACTTGCTTTTCTATTTTAATGGACAAGTGAGCACTTAAACATAGAGATACAAGTACTAAAGTGAAAATAAAGTATGATACTGATGACACAGCAAAAGCAATCGGGAAATGCTGCTTTGAGCTGTGTGTTCGATAGCACCGAGTAGGCAAAGCGCGAGCTGAAGCACGTCTCTTCCTCTTCATCCTTGCCCAGGTCATTGTAATAGCCAAAATATCAGGAGCTATAATGCACACAACCCGGGCTGAGGTTGGGGCCTTGAAGGCTGCGTCTGCATCCAAGCACATGACTGAACGCTGAGCGCACCAGGATGCTTTCAACCACAAATCTATTTCAAATATTTCACTAAAAGAATCATGTTTGACTAATTATAACTCAGAACGTTTTGTGACCACAACCACAGGAAATACCATTTCCCAAAGTTCTCCAATTTTCAAAGTCCTCAGCATCATGTACTTCTTACTTCTATTACAAAAGCTTTACTTTTAAGCCATTTTTGTAAGTTGATTTTTGACTGAATCTCTAATCTTCTGACTGAAAGGATTAGAGACCTAATGTATCTTCTTAAGGGATTTTTCTGCTTACAGAATCGGCCTGAATCTTCTCACTCTGCTCATGATGCAGGATTTCCTTCTCTAGAGGTCTTCCAAACCCGCCTGGATGTGACCCTGTGCCACATGCTCCAGGTGTCCCTGCTTGAGCAGGGAGGTTGGACTAGATGGTCTCTAGAGGTCCTTTCCAAGCTTAAACATTCTGATTTACCACTGTCCATTTCTGCACCCTCAGAAATGTGAGTGGAGGAAAATCACATCCAGCAGGATGCTTCCCATGGCGCTCTGCCCATGGACTAGCTTACGGTGGTGCATCACGCTCTTCAGAAACCCACATAATTCCCATATCTAAACTACATGTTGCTTTGCCATCGTTGATGGAAAATTATCAAAGACCAGGAGGTAACTGGGCATCTGAAAATACTGCTTCGGAAGAGAGGTCCAAAGCAAGGTGGCTCCAAGGGCAGGTGAAAGCTGGCAAAGCAGGAAGCATTGGGCACATTTGCATCAGGTAGTTTTAATGAAGGTGGCTGTGGAAAGAGTAAAGATGCACAGTGCACACATGCCCTCCCACCCTCACACATCCCAAACAGTTCCCTGGTTTGGTACAAGAACAGTGAGGGCACGAGCTCCTAGGTAAACGTGAACAGGGTCATCCCAGACCACGGAGCAGAGGCCCTGCCACGAGTCACCTCTCCAGCCCAATACATAGGAAAAGTCACATCTCCAGGCTGGCACGTCCTTGGCTCTGCCCACGCGGAATCCATCCGTGTGCCACATGGGGCACGACGGCAGATAAGGCAGCGAAGCCTTGAGCTCCTCACACTCGTCAGCAACAAGGGGGCAAACCAACCCACGGCTAAGCCTAACACTCAAGCCTGAATGATGCTTCTGCCAAACCTAAAGTCCACACAGGTTTCTTCTTCTGGCCCTTGGAGAGCAACCTGGAGGAGACAAAGCAGAACAGGTCACATCGAGGTTCAGCTCCATTCATACTGACCTGCTCCACGAGCTGCGGTTACAAAGGAGCAGAGATGATGCAGCCTCCTCTACCTTTGCTACTCCAAAAACAGCTCTGCCTGGGATGGGATGGGATAGAGCAGCAGCTGGGGTCGGGGCCTCTGCCATTGCTCCCGTGCGAGAGGCCGGAGCTCAAGCTCTTGCAGGAACCTGCACTCCCCAGATGGGGCCGATGAAGATTTCTCACAGGATAAAGTGCCTCCTAGTGTAGCTTTAATAATAATTTTTATAAGAACTTAAAAATGATTAAAAACTTTTGATTTAAAGCGGTTACATATAGATGAGAAAGTTAAAATATTTATTTTACAGTTTAATGAAAAGATGTTCTCTTATAACAAATGCAGAGACCCAGCGCAGCAGCGCCTGGTGTCTGCCATTGTTTGCAAACATTTCTTGCTTCCTGTGCTCTTGTTCTGGCACGAGGGTTTCAAACACAAGGACCATGGAGCTTTCCAAGCCATGAGTGTGTCACAGCAAGGAAGGGAGGGCTAAGAATTCTGCCAGATTGCAAGGTGCAGGGACTTGCACTTCTAGCACTCACTTTGAATCTTAATTCCCACATATATTGTTATAAATTCACTCACGAGTCCAGTAATATTGTTCTGAAGCATAGAAGCCCCATCCTCCCAAAGCCTCAGCTAGGGTCCTGCCCAAAATGCTCTCTGAGAAAAAAATCTGATTTCAATATTTTATATTAATATTATAAAATATTTTAATATTTCTGATTTTAATGGCAGCAATCTGCCATTATAGCTGATTTTTCAGTATTTGAATAAAGCATCACTGTTTTCCATGACTCTCTTCTTGAAGACTAAGCCACACTAACAAAAAAACAAAACTCAATCAATATAGAGAAGTCTAAATAATGCTCTGAATTACTGATTCTTCTAGCATAACCACCGATTCTTAGTATACATTTTCCAAAGCCACCTAGGTTCCTACAGGAGCATAATGAAACATACGCTGCAATACAGACTATAGGGAATGTATAGCCATCTCATTATATAATATATATGCCAGGGAACATTGAGTCAGATTGAAGTTGTGTAATATCAGCTACCTGGGGGGAGTTTGTGGAACTTCTGTCAAGATATCTGGAGCTGACCACAGCACTGAAATTGAGTCTGATCCAGCTGGGCAGTTTCAGCATCTCTCTACATATGCGTGTAATAAGACAGAATGAAAAACACAAGAAAAACAAAAACAAAAAAAAAATAGAGTCAGAAATGTCCTGCTGTAGGGACAGTTTTTAGAAGAAAAGGCTTTTCTTTTCTTTTAAATGGAGAGACGGGATAACCCTACCCATATTTTTACATGTATTTGGAAATTCCACACATGATTAAATTCCCAATAGGATGAAAAACACCCTTTTTGTTTTCCCATCGTATCCTACTAATGTCCTTGTCGAGCAGACCTCAGGCGGAAGCAGGGAAGTGCCAGCAGCCACCCGACACCTTGGACCACGACCCGAGTGTCGCAAGGCCAAGGACTAGTGGCAGCCACGGGCTTGCCCCCTGCTCGAGGCATCCGGCTGTGTGCAGCAGAGCCCCGCGGGCAGCCTTCCAGCAGCAACCACACAGCAACACTTGTGTTTACAGCATCTGCCAAAGGTGTGAGGAGGACAATTTCTCTGCAGCATGTTTCCAAAGCAAGTCAAACCCATTAATTAAACCCATTCTCTTGTCCTGCTTCAAAAGGAAAAACAGAGCTGATTTACGAGCATCGACAGCTGCAGGAAGCAGGAGTTGGTTTTGGTCTCTGTTTCTAATTAATTTTTAAGCACCTGGGTAGGCTGATTCCTCCGATTCAAAAGGCTGCACGTCCTCAGTGTGTACAAGGAAAGGAAAGGAAGGTGCTCCATACATGGGTACTGCGGGCAAGCTGCTGTGCCTTCTCAATTCCCTCTGAACTAACCCTACAGAAACGGGGCACCTCAACACCTTTGTGCCCAAGGGAGGTGCAGCATGAAGCTCGAGAAGCCCTGCTCACAAGACACTTCTTACCTGGTCATTCCTTACCCAGCTGGTGAGAAGCTGGGAAATGAATGGCACTGAGAGCAGCAGAGCCTGTGGCAGCTGACAGCTCTCCTGCTAACTGCATGCCCCCCGAGAAACTGCCTCCAGTTTCGTCCTCTGGAGGGAAGATAAATGTCTCTGAGTTGCCAGATCAAACGGCAACACATGCGAATAGCAACATACAGCAAGAGAGATTTCACCTGCTTCTCCTCTTCCTTGTTCCTTAAACGAGACACACACTGCTAGTATTTTGGCCTGAAATCTGAAGGTCAGCTGAAGCTGAAGAAAGCTTCTAACACGCACTCGAAGAACAGGAAATTTTTACAGAAGTGGAAAACTTAGGATGCAGAGCTCTGACCCCACATTCCTGGGCTATCTTTATCCCTAAAGGCCCGTGCAAACACAGGCAAGTGAATCCACATGGCACCTCCTGCCTTGCACAGCCACGTGCTGTTGTCACAGCCCCTGCCAGCACAGATCAAAGTTTCCTACACGTTACTGAGCTGAGCCCTGGGTGCTCAGTAGTACAGAACGTAAGGGAGAAGGATACAATCTTACAACTGAAAAAATAATTTCCGGACTCCAGGTGTTAATAGAAGCAATTTAAGATTATCAAATTCAGCTTTGATTTCATGACATTGTATCAGAATCCTAAAGGCCTAAATTCCACTCCTAGGAAGGTCACTCACAGTCCTCTCACCAACCCGCAACAGGACTCTGTTTGATGGTGACCCACACACCAACCCCAGCGCAACCTGCCTTGCACAAAGAGCACTCGAACACAACCATATGTCAACATTTAGAGGGAAATGCATTCCTTGCATTTCTGGCCATGTATCTCCCAGCCTGGACACTGAAAGAACCATCCCACACGTGCAGTTCAGTCAGAGGACAGACACAGATCCCTTCAAAATGAAGGGGCCAAAGCAGAACAACAAGGTAAATATAGAAATAACTGTCCATGGTGTTTGAAAGGTTAATTCTGTGCAGCACAAAGATCACCCGGGGTTTATGGCAACACAGGCTTATCACACCACATGCAGATTTTGAGCATACGGCTTTGAGATAGCTTATTTCCCAGCAACTAAATGAAACGGGAAATGCAAATTGAAGCTGCTACAGCACAGAAGCTACAGGGAACTGTGGCTCTTCTCAGCACACTAAGAGAACTAAGTGTACTTAGTTCTCAGTAACCAAGAGACTATGTTTTCTTTTCTTTAATTCCAGGTTATTTTGGAATGTGAAAGCTACTTGCTGCTTGGACCCGTGACAACCATGCAGATACTACTGACTTGCATAAACAACCTACGCTGACATGGTAAGCACATCCCAAAGATCACATCTCGGTTCGTCTGGAGCTACATCTCGCAGCAAACTGGAGCAACTCAGTGCGCTGGCTTGCTCAAAAAGAGGCACATAAAAAGTATTAAGCAACCTAAGCGAACAGGATGTGGCAACACTCCTTGATTTACAAACGTTTTCTTATAGGCATCACACAAAGTTCCCAAGAACCTCTCAAAAGGGATGTTGCTAAGCAAAGATGACCTAAAAAAGACTATTTAGTTATGAATTAGTTGTGAGTGTAATTTGCAGGACTAACAGCCACATTCCACACTACCACCAAGTAAAAGAGGAGAAAGCTCCAAAGGCAAGGAAAAGAGCATATTTTTAACTCAAGTTTAAGTACAAACATAGAAATGGTTTATGCCTCATCTTGGTTGGCATAGAGGAAGTGAACTATTGGTTCACTCTGAAGTCAGCTTCTTCAGGTATTCTTTCCTTAAGCCTCAGACATTTGACCCTGGGATTTCAGCATTCATCTTAACAATACGCTGACTACAGGCAGCTTCACTAACTCGTGGCTTTTCGTATTAGAAAAAACAAATTTTGGATCAAAACACAGTCAGATACCTTGTTATTTTCAGCGGGAAGGCAGAAGTTCACTCTGTCCACCCATCTCTTGACATGATGTAACGGCTATGCCTACCCCTTACCAACAGCCATGACCCCTATCAGCTCTCCTTTTTGGCATTTTTCTTTCCATTTCTAGAGAAAATTGGGAACGTATTTTGTAGCAGATTTAAACAAAACCCAATTAAAAATTAAAAGAAAACCCTTTAGCTAATCTGCTGCTCCGAAGTTTCTTAGACAAACAAAAGCAGCTCTCCAGAGATGAGAGCACACCACGGAGTTTAGTTAAAACAGGAAGAATCTTTTACATTAGTTAAATAAAATCTGCATCTCTTCAACACATGGCAAGAGGCCATGATTTTATTTTCATTTAAAAGCACCACGATATGTGTAAACGGTTAGGCCACGGTTTACACAAAACAGATGAGGACATTAAGACAAAATTACACTGTTAAGTAAGATTAATTAGAGATTAGGAGAGAAATTAAGTGGAAGAATCTACATTATAATTAATAATGACAGCTATATCAAATAGGAATAGAATTAAGGTAGAGACACAAGATGACTCAAAAAATAGGAAGAGATAGTAAAGAACAATAAAATATTCTTCATAGGCTTTATTCTTTCCTCTACCTAAACTACAAAAGGCACTTTTAGCACCTGCATGGATTCTTTCTCACCCTTTGCATCAGTGTAAGATTGAGCAGGGCTATAAATCTGCAAAGTACTGCACAAACATTAAGCTCTGGGAAGGATATGAAATTGCAGTGTACAAGATCAGTTAAGTGACTTGCTGTAGGGCAACAGAGCAACGCGATGAATCAAAGGCTCCCAGGCTCTCCTCAACATTGAGTCATGTCATATATCTGGGCCACCTGAATCTGATCCCAAATCACAAGCTGCTGAGTACAAATCCAGCAGCAAGCACTTATTTTTAAGTCCTCTTTCAGGCTCTTACTAGGAAAGTTTCCACATACTGCAGTGTGCACTGTTGTCTTCTTGGGGGTGAAGACATCTCCTCTTTGTAAGGGAGGCTTCAAACCTGAAAGCCAGCTGTGACATTTTGAGAGAACTTTTCAGATCTTAACCACAAACCTGGTTCATATATTTGCTTCTGTGCAAATCCAGGGTATGTATACAAAAATGGAGGAGCAAAACCAGCAGCAACTGCAATAACTCTGTGTGTCATCCCCAGCCCTGTTATCTATCAATGGTCAATTCATTAATAAATCACCATGGCTTAGATCCTAAGCAATTTACGCTGATAGGGATTACAAGGCCATAAAAACCTCACCATTTTCCAAAAAAAAAAAAGCAAGTTCAAAATTCACACCACCACCTTCAACACCATTTGGAACACAGGCTAGTAATACAAATTGCACTGAAACTTCCCAGATTATTGTTGCCAAAGCAGAGAGATGCTGGGATCAAAGAAAGCACATGGTTCAAATTCTAAAATACACTGCAAAATACAGTGTCTGTTTCACAAAAATGAACTTGACTTTGTGATTAATATTTATTCCAGCTTTGCACGCACACACAGATCCACATGGGCACATGTCCACATTCCACTTGCTATGAGAAATACAGAAAATATTAATACTTCAAATAACGCAAAGGCATCTGCTTTGTTTCATTCCAACTCTACCATTATCTTTCAAATTTCTCTCTGCAAATTCACAGCAGAAAACATTTCCCTGAACTTTCTGTTTAGCCCAGAGCATACTCATCTGGGAGAACAACAGCTTTACCAGATACCTGGAATATTATTGAAATGCCAGCGGCGTTTCTTCAGTTTCTGAGTTCCTGAAAATCTGAAGGAGAAAGTTCTGACAAGTATAAAGTCTTAGCTGATTCTATAAATATCCTGGCCCCTAGCAAAGAAAAAGGGGGTTGATGTTTGAAGATTTTCTAATTTTATTGTTGTTTGTAGTATAAACATTCCACGTGAGCCCTAATCCAGGGCAGCAGGCTGGCTCATGCTCACTTTAAGCAGGTGAGCATTCCCATTCAGCTCCAAGGGATGAGCATATTACCCAAGTGATCTGCTTGACCACTGTCTAAATTAAGACTTTAGAAGGGCCTGGTAAATGCTCTTGGAAAGCGAGAAGGTTCCCACGTTTCCTCCCAGTTTGCAGCAGTCACCCCTACCTCATCTCCTCCACTTTGCGGACACATTCAGAGACCATTCACAAAATGCTGTTTTATTATTGCAGGATCAGGACATATAAAACAAACTCTTCAAGCAGTCAATGGAGTACAAACTGACTGGTAAGCCTTTCTTTTTTATTATTATTATTATTATTATTATTGTTATTCTCCTTGAGAGGGTTTAAGATTTACTAGCCCTTCACTATTATCCCTTTGGCACAGCAGAATAGGGAAGCTTTATGGTTATGAGCACTGGGTGACAGAACTGGTTCTCAACTGTGTTTCCCTCCCCTAATATTTCTTTATCAGCAAATTAAAGCTTACCTGTTTCCACTTTAAAGTTCAGAAAAAGTTAACTACCATAAAGCAGAAATACAAGAGACAAAGTTGACTCATTCTAAGTATTGGAGGAGAAAAATGGAAGGAGAAAAAGGTGAAAGGCTGGCAAAAGGTTACGAGAAGGACACGCTAAGACAATAGGAAAGAGAAAGAGGAATTCAGTGAAGGAAAAAAAAGCTGAAAAATATGAGAACTGATCTGGGTTCAAGAGGAAGAGCACAGTGATCTCTAGCAATTCCCTTAGCAAAGGGAAAGCTGCAGGTTATTCCATTAGATGGACAAATTCAATATCCTGACAATTTTAAGCCCTTGGATCTATTTTTTTTCTCCCAGAAGAGAATGAGTCACACAGTTTCCAGCTTTATCCAATTTTCTTTGTATTAAAAGAGGCTAATGTTCTGAATGGTGGAACAGCCCCGCACTACCTGCCACTAGCAATCTGCTGGATCATCTAAACAAATCAGAAGCACTTGAAATATTCAAGGCAAGAGGACATGAGGGCCACAAAGCTCCAGCTGAGTACCCCAGCTGGGACCACAAGCCTCACATGCTGCCTACAGGCAGCCATGCACAAACTCCAATACGTGTTTGAAGCAATCTCTATAGATATCCAAGCCCTAAGTTAAAAGGTATGATATACTTAAAGGATAAGGGGCTGCTAAGTATCAGCATATTCTGCATACCTATGGCCAGAAAAGAAAAAGAAACAGTAAGCCTATTCACAAACTGGCATGAAAACAAAAGATGAGTTTTCAATAACCCAGGATGCCAAAAACACTTATGAGTTAACTTGTACTTACACATTTAGTTCACTTATATGTAACTCTAATATTAAAAGTTTTTATTAGTTTCCTATTCAAATCTGCAAGAATTTTTATAAATTCTGAAGTGAGTCAAGTTCCCATCTCCTCTCCTTCCCCCCCTGCTACCTCTATTCATAAAGTGCAAAGTGACAGATCATGTAAAAGTTCAGAATGAACAATGTATTTTTTTCTGCCATCTACAGTCCCCAAATTGCTGCAGAAGGTCAGAAAACTGTTACTGGTTTCTGCTGCTACCCTGAACTCACAATGTTTATACCAGAGGGAACAGCACCCAGGAGATGAAAGACCATCCCTGGGATCCCAGAGCAGCTCCATCTCACGGCAGCGTGGAGCATGCTGCTGTGCTGTGAGCTGGTGGCAGTCGCACGGTGCAACCACAAAGCACTGCCGGGAACCCTCCTGCCTTGGGCGTTTCTCCCAGGCTTCATCCCGGGGCAGCAGGACAGGGCCTTCCATAGACTGCAGGATCTTCCCGTTTTCCTAAGGGCCCAAACAGAAACTCTGATTGATAACAGCATGGGTGCAATAAAAATGAAATTATTCCTGAAGGCCACAAAAGACAGAAATATATATACATATTTGAAAAATAATTCAAGTCAAGAAAGTATTTCAGTAATCAGACTCGCTCTCTTCAGCGATGCTGAACTCTGAAAATGGAAGTCTAAGGAAAAGTGGCTTCTAAACCAAGCGAGAGCAAAAAGCAACTTAACTGGCATACAAAACTTGTACTGACATACAAAAGTCAGGAGAAAACTATGCTTTCCCTGTCAGTGCTGCAACGAAGATCAAGGTGTGCAGTTCGTTCAGCCCCAGGAGGATATGCTCTATGAAAGCCAGATTCTGCCTTTATTCGCGTTCTATTGATGCTCTCTGGTGAGGAAAACGAGGCAGACCATGGTGGTAGGACAGGAGCCAGCTTGGCCCTGCTTTGCTGAAGGGGCTGCTGTAGTCGTTCACCGCAGGGCCGCGCGGATTCCCTCCGCGTTCCCGAGCGCGGAGCTCCCGCATTTCACACGCTGAGCAACTCTGCCCGGGCCTCACCACGCGCCCCGCTCACCAGCTTGCTCACACTGTCCCAGCTTGCTAACACTGTCCCATGCAGGCACAGACAGACACAGCCAAAATTAAACCCGATGCAGGACAGACCTCCGCACTCTTCCTGACCTCAGCTACCGCCTTTCTCAGTTCAGCTACGATTCCTGACTTACCTTTCCCCAGGCACAACAGCATCTCTGACCTAGGACTAGCTTCAATGGACGTCTTTGACCTCTCAGTACTGCTGAATTGTCTCAGCACTCGCACTCTACCAAAGCTTTTAATATAGCGATGGAACAAGCAGCATGATTGTTCTCTCTGCCTGCTCTTTCTGACCTAAATTTTCTGAGTTCTGTGACACTAAGTGCTCCTTCTTTACTACATCCTTCATCCAAGCATAGGGTTTAACTTCTGGTTTAGCTTCTCCAGCTAATTCTGCACATACAGCTAGAAACATCTATAAAGAACCTACCATAAAACCTCTTATTCATGACACTCCTCTAATACTTTAAAGATAGGTCTTACAAATCAGCTGGAGAAAACACACTGAATTTTAAACTATATATAGTTTTCATGACAAAATCAATGGTCCAGCTGCTAGGAGGGGGGAAAAAAGCATAGAACAATAACATGCACATAAATATCTAAATGTTTCCAGTGAAGTAGAGAGCTAGTCACAATTTATTCAGTGGAAGGACTCAAGTTTCTTTAGAAGTGATCTGAAAGACTTCCACGGCTTTCAGTGAGAACCAGAAGGGCCAAACCTAGAGTCGTTTCCCATGCAGGCACACGCAAAACGCACACCCCCCGTGCAGAAGGTTCCTGCTCTTCACGATGCTCAGAAGTGGCCGCTGCAGGGGAGGAGACCCCACTGCAGAGCAGCACCGAGGCAACACGCAGCAGTTCCGACCCTCTCATCTGCTAGCTGGTGTGACAGGGGGACGTGGCTAGAGCGGGTCAGGAAGGGACATGGACGGACACTAGGAAACACAACTCCAAGAATACACATTCCTAGCAAAAACAAGAGGCAGTCTTCCTGAATGGGAACCATATAAGATGGTAGGGAACAAAGCAGTATTTGGCAGTATTCAAACATTCTGCACATGCCCAGGAGCAAGTAACAGTTTTTAAAAGATGCACTTGAATGATGTGAACACAGAACTGAATTTTCAATTTATCCTTTTCATTTTTACTGTAACATCTTCATAAGTTACTACTACTTCTAAAATAGACTTCAAAAAAATGGAACTCCAACATCTATGACATGCAGCAGTTGCCATGTGCTTCCCTCTCAGCATATACAGGCAAACAAGTCAAACAAGTTCTTTGCATGGTACTTTTCCCTATGTCCTATAGGAACAATGACTTTTTGAATTCAAAGACCAGATCTTCAGGAATTGTGCTTCAAAGGCCCCATTTTACCCCCAGGAAGAAAAAAAAAATGCTTCACAGATCAAGAACACAGAAATGTACAGCTCTGTGGACCTATTCACCAATTAGGCTCTTTTTACATTTTTATATCACTATCTTTCCTCACAATCTAACCTGCCATATTACCTCTTCTAACACAAAAGTTACAGCACAAAAATGATCAGCTGCTTCCTCCGCCTGTGTCCGAGCGGGCCTGCAACAATGTGCAAATGAGCAATGTTTCTCTCAAATAGATTCATTATATGATATACATGAAGCACATGAAATCTCCACTCTCCTCCAGGAGGAGAGTCACAACCCAGTGTCTAACACAGTAGCTCTCACGGTTCTGCTGCCGGGTCACTGGGCCCGGATGCTCTGCAACGTCCCATCTAGCTACCAGATACAGGCGTTATCCATATGGACAACTTGTCCTCAGTCCTTATTCAAGCTGCCATTTCACTGAACACAATCCAATCTACTTCTCATCACACAGTGCTCCTCTGCTCAGGGCAGAGCCTTCTGAAGCAGAGTTGGGGGAAAAAAGGGGAGCTTAAAAACTTTTCCTATTCTTGCTCCAGTATTAGTTGTTTTCACTCCAATGCTTTGAGATTCCTGGTGACACTTCAGTGAGCTCTAAGCTCCCTGGTCCAAAACTGAGGACCCCACCACATCCTCCCCAGTCCACAGGCACTTCATTTCCACCCAGGTGTCCAGCTGAGTAAAATTCCCATCCAAAATTGCAGCAGAGGTGGTAGGAACAGTTGGGAAAAGGTTGGGAAATCATCTCACAAAGATCAGCTTCAGTTAGTCCCTCAGTCTAAGTGACATCCTCAAGACCCCATTATGAAGCAGGTGCTGAAGCTGTGCCCCTGTGACAGGAATAATTCCAGACAGCACAAACAAAAGAGAAGGGGAATTATAGCCTGGTAGCAGGTAGCTGAGCTGGAAAGGGAGCAAGAGTCTCACTCCCTGATTCTAGGGCTGTCTTTTTGTTGAATATTGTAAATATTATACAGGATAAAATCTATAATAGTGTTTTTCAAACCAGAGGTTGACGCCCAAGAATCCATTCTGCAAAGGGCAAGTCACACAAGCCCACAAAGAGGTACCTCAACCTCCCAAAAGAGGTTAAATCTCAGAGACAAGCCCTCCTTGACATGGAAAATCCGCTAGGGATATTTTGAGGCTCCAACTGTGTCTCAAGCACAGATCACCACGTGGGCCTAGTCCAACACAACTGCCAAATTAAAAACAGTTTACATGCCGACTGCTTCTTTCACACGTACCCGACCATCTGTTTGCCACATCCATTTTTGCCTTGTCACACATTCAGACTGTGCATCCTTCAGGAAAGCAAGTATATTTCTACGTTTGTTTCTGCACAATATGTCCCTAAATAAGATTCCAGGCTTTAGGAGCCCCTGGAGCACAAATCAGTATAATATATAGGATTAACAGTTTTAAAAGACAGGAAATGTGAACTTCAGGAACTGAAAAAAACAGTGATGT